AATTTTATTAAGTTTTTATTGCTTTTTTCCTTAGGTTATACAAATTTTTTAAATATATATTTAAAATACAATGGAAATATTTTAAATGACTAGATCAAAAATGCAGCACAGTGAAATTAAAAACAAGGATCATAATTATAGTGAAGTGAAATTGCATAACCTTCAACATACTGGTAGTAATATTCAAAATGCATATGACAATGATGTTAGAACAACATATAAATCAAACAAATCTGGTATAGTATCAAGCAAAGAAGTATTTGGTCAGATTAAAAATATTAATGAATTAAAGAGAATAACACCACGTGTAAAATTATTGACTCATGATGCAAATAGCTTAAATGAACTAACTAAAATTTCTTTGCACAATAAAATATCTGCACAAAAGAAATTATCAATATTGGAACAAACAAAACAGGAATTAAGAAAATATTGTAGAACTTGTGCTGGTTTAAAACTTCCATTAGTTGATATTTTTAGTGAAAAGGGTAATCAAATGAGATTAAGTCAACAAATAAAACATTTGGAAGAAATAAATCCATATGATAGTTTATCAACTCAAATGTGTATGGATTGTATTTGTGACTTAAAAATGAGTTATAAATTTTTTATGCAAATTAAGAAAGCAGAAGTCAAATTAAAATCTATTCATATTACTCTGACTGATACAGCAACAAAAAATATAGAATTAAATAAAATTCAACCTGCAGGAACTTTTGAAAAACAAACAGAGAACATTGTTGAAAGTATTGCAACCAATCCATCTACAAGTAAAGAAAATAATGAACATGCTTCTGTACCAAAAATATCTGCAATCTTTTCATTAAAAAAAAAATGATCAAGAACTTTTAAAAACTCCTGGAAAAGTAAATCTTGAAAAATCAGAAAATAAAGCTGAACTCGAAATTTTTGAAGATTCAACTATTCTACAAAATAGTGATGATAATGAATCTATAGAAGAGTTTGATCCAGATGATCCTCCTTTTCAACCTGACAGTTCTGATGTTGCAGATTCTGATGATGAAGTAGTAATACCAAATGCAAAAAGACGAC